AAAAAAAAAAAATATATATATATATATATATATATATATATATATATATATTATGGAGCTGGGTGCGGATGGCTCACGCCTGTAATCCTAGCTACTCAGAAAGCTAAGATCTGAGGATTGTGGTTCAAAGCCAGCCCAGGCAAAAACATGCATGATACTCTTATCTCCAATTAACCACCAGAAAACCAGAAGAGGAGCTGTGGCTCAAGTGATAGAGTGCCAGCCTTGAGCTGAAGAGATCAGGGACAGTGCCCAGGCCCAGAGTTGAAGCCCCATGACTGACCAAAAACAAAACAAAAACAAAGATTATGGAGACAACAGAGGAAACTGGAACATGGACTTTAGGTAATTTTATTATGTCAGTATTCATTTCCTGACTTTGATAAACATTGTGCGGTAGCAGAAGGAACTATCCTTATTTTTAGCAAAGGTGCCCAACAGCTACAGTATGGGGTACATTTTTCTTAAGTCTGACATTTCTATAAAAATTACTAGCTAACACAAAGGTGTAATGCCTATGTGCATCTGATCATATAAAATAGTATTTATCAAAATGAACACCAGGAAATGGAAACAAGAGGCTTTTTTCTTTGTTGATGTTTTTGTTTTCCTTTTTTCTGTCTTGTTTATACATTTATCTGTCCTTGGGAGGATAAGGGGAAACACAGAAATGGAGGGACAAAGGGTGAACAAATACAGCAGTGGTATTCACTGGACACTATGTTGAAAATGAAATGTGCAACTTGTGGTTGGGGATGGCAGGAAAAAACTGGGAGAGAATGAGGGAAGGGAGGACATTGTCCAAAAAGAAATGTGCACTTTACCTGACTTATGTAATAGTAACCCTCTGTACATTACCTTTATAATAACAATAAAGAATGTTTTTTTCAAAATTATTGGCTTGTACTCATTGGCTAGATGAGGTCCCAATTTTGTTCTAATGTTGTATGTTTACTACATGTATCTGTATATATTTTCAATCATCATATGAATGCAGCTTCAGCTGAAATTGAGGAGCCTGGATTGAAAATGTTACAAAAATCATAATTTGAAAAATACCAGGGCTAGAATTACATTTCTTATTTCATACTGTAAATTTCCAGCTGAGGAGAGGAAAGGCAAACAAACTGCAGTGCCATTGCTGGGTCAGCTCTTGATGAGGAACATAAGCAAGGAGTGACCTACACATAATACATTAGAAGCCTGTGACACTTTGGCAAGTACCTATTGTCTTCCTGCCCTAAAGACAGAGCCAGAAGCAGTGGTTCGAGCCAGTAATACTGGTTTGAGGTCAGTTTGCACAAATGAAAGTTCACAAGACTCCATTTCAACCAATGGCTGGGCATGGTGGTATATGCTTGTTATCTCAATTATGTGAGAAACACAAGTAGGAAGATTGCAGCCCAAATGGGCCCAGGCATAGAGACCCTACCTCAAAAATAACCAGTGTAAAAAGGGGCTGCAAGGCATGGTTCAAGTGGTAGAGTGTCTCCCTAGCAAGCACAAGGCCTTGAGCTTAATCCTCATCACCATCAAAAAATAAAAATAAATATCTGGTCTAGTATAAGCACGGCTTGAAAGACAGGTTTTTTTCCACATCAAGTGTGCTCAAAGCAAATTGGTCTCGAGTATTTTTTTTGGGGGAGAGGGGTCCGGTCATGGGGCCTGAACTCTAGGCCTGGGCGCTGTCCTTCAGCTCTTCAGCTCAAGGCTAGCACTCTACCACTTGAGCCACAGCACCAGCTTTTTAATTTTTTTTTGCTTATGTGGTGCTGAGGAATTGAACCCAGGGCCTCAGTCATGCAAGGCAAGCGCTCTACCACTGAGCCACCTTCCCAGCCCCAAGGTCTTGAATATTTTTAAAGAAAAAATGCCAATCTGGCTAACTAGAATAATAACTTTCTTATCTCAACCTTTAGGATAGTCCCAGAAAAAAGCTGTTTCTGAGTCAATCACAAGGAAACAATGCTGGCCTCCGTGTTTCTCAACAGGAGTATGTTAGCAAATTTGGATGGCACAGTTTTGGGTCCTGGGGACTCTTACCTTATGGGCCATCTCCAATGGCTCTCCACCTTTGATAAGTATGCCATTTTGAGCACCTACTCCTGTCCCTACCATCACAGCAGTTGGAGTGGCCAGTCCCAGGGAACAGGGACATGCAATACACAGAACTGTGATGGCGGCTTGGAAAGCAAAGCGTATTATTGTTTCTGTTCGGGAGATACTTCTATTGTAGCCCTTTAGAAGAAAGGCATAAATTTTGGTTATTGATTCTGTGCTGTGTAAAACAAAAGAAACAAAACTTTATCCTATTTAAATAAAACCTCATTATTAAAAGTCACATATCCTAAACCTAGCTGCCAACATACATTTTAGTTACTAATAAGAAATAATACATTTTTTTCTTTCAAAAAAAGTGAGAAGCCTAGTGGGGCGCCGGTGGCTCACGCCTGTAATCCTAGCTACTCAGGAGGCTGAGATCTGAGGATCCCTGTTCAAAGCCAGCCCAGTCAGGAAAGCCCATGAGACTCATCTCCAATAAACTACTAGAAAACCGGAAGTGGTGCTGTGGCTCAAGCGGTAGAGCGCTCGCCTTGAGCTGAAGAGCTTAGGGACAGTGCCCAAGCCCAGAGTTCAAGCCCCACAACCGACCAAAAAAAAAAAGAAAAGAAAAAAAAAGTGAGAAGCCTGAAGTCAAAATTTCATTTGGGTAATTCTGGAGTTACAAACTATAGAGTGAATAGAAGCACCATAAAACTCCACATTTGATTTTTTTGTCTTCTTCTTTGAATCTAAGGAATTTTTATTTTAGGGAAAAATAAAATTCTGACTTTCAGTGTACTAACAGAATTAACCTGCCTTTCACATTATTCATAAAGATGATAAAAAAAATTCACCAGGCATGCCAAGGGCTTTTGTTGTATTTTGGACATAATAATGGGAACTGAGGCTCCTAGTGGCATTGAGTGTTTGCTCAGGTATGGAATTATTATGATTGACAGCATCAGGAAAAAAATCTTCTAAGACTCATTGACCTCGTGAGAAAAATTCCTGAAGGGAACTTCCAAACTATTCCATTATTCATTGTGTACTTCACCAACATGAATCATTTAAGTGACTTATTATACTATTAACCATAACATGAAAACAATACACAGTTGGGATTACACTTGTTTTTTTTTTCACTTAAAAATGTAAAATATGAGATCTGAGGACTGTGGTTCAAAGCCAGTTGGAACAGAAAAGTCCCCATGAAACTCTTATCTTCAATTAACCACCAGAAAAGTGGAAATAGCACTGTGGCTCAAAGAGGTAGAATGCTACTCAAGCAAAAAAGCTCAGGGACAGTGCCCAGACCCTGAGTTCAGGCCCCAGAACTGGAATAAAAGTAAAACAGGGGGCTAGGAAGATGGCTCAGTGGTAGAGCGCTTGCCTTGCAATGCATGAGGCCCTGGGTTCGATTCCTCAGCACCACATAAGCAAAAAGAAAAAAGCCGGAAGTGGCGCTGTGATTCAAGTGGTAGAGTGCTAGCCTTGAGCTGAAGAGCTAAGGGACAGCGCCCAGGCCCAGAGTTCAGGCCCCACAACCGGAAAAAAAGAAAAAAAAAGTAAAACAGTACATGGAGTGTCTTTTGTGAAAACAAAATCTTTTGTGAAAACAAAATGATGCCAGAAATGAGACTAAGTGTAAAATGTAAACAGTTCAATAGTTCCTTCTGGAAAATCATGGTGAGAAAAAATTCCAAAAGGAAATATTTATCCTTATAAAAATGCAAGTGTTACTATATTTGTGTATGTGAATATGCTGGTGCTCTACCACTTGATCCACAGCTCCACTTCGGCTATTTGGTGGTTCACTGGAGATCAGAATCTCATCAATTTTTCCTGCCCCAGCTGGCCTATAACTATGATCCTCAGACTGGCTTCCTGAGTAGCTAGGACTGCAGGCAGGTGTGAGCCCCAGGTGGCACAGCTGCAAGTGTCATTATTACCACTCTCTTATCCCAGCCCTTTAAAGACCCAGTTACTCCTTAGCTGTAATTTCCATTACCAAGTCATCTGCGATCCAAAATACAAAGTGGAAAATTCTAGAAGTAAAATTATAAATTGTAAATTATACACCACTCTGAGTAGCATAATATAATCTTCCTCTGTCCTCCTTGGCTGAAATGGGAATCATCCCTTTATCCAGCATATCCATGTTGTATACACCACCCACCCATTAGTAACCCAGTAGCTGTCTCTTCAGTATTCTAATAACTGTGTTCCCATGCCTGTGTTCAAGCAATGGTGATATTACTAAATTATGTTCCCCACATGAAAGAGAAGTGATGGTGGCAATTTGGATATGACAACAAAATTCTAGTAGGTGCTTACTTTAAAAGATGAGGTGAAAGTTTTGTAACAATTAGGAAAGAAAAACAATCACTGTGTATTGAGATAGCTAAGATCTAAAAGAATGAATCATTTGTCAATAAAACTGTAGAGGAAAAAGGAATGTGCACTGCTTTTGCTTTCATGCCTCCCACTCACTGCAAACATTATCACAGTGTATGACAAGTGCTTAATTAAAATGGAAAAGGTACCAGGCATGGTAGCACATGCTTGTAATCTTCCTGGGAAGAGGAAGCAGGAAAACCTTGAATTCAGCTTGGGTAGAGATCAAGGCCTTATCACAAAACTAACAATAGAAAAGGTATCAAATTTGTGTATTTATAGAAAAGCATAGTATATATAATATTATATAAAATATAAGCCCGCTGGGCGCCAGTGGCTCACACCTGTAATCCTAGCTACTCAAAAGGCTGAGATCTAAGGATAGCAGTTCAAAGTCAGCCCCAGCAGGAAAGTCCGTGAGACTCTTATCTCCAGTAAACCACTAGAAAACCAGAAGTGGTGCTGTGGCTCAAGCAGTAGAATGCTCGCCTTGAGCTGAAGAGCGTAAGGCCAGCACCTAAGCCTCACGACCAACAAAAAAATAAAAAATAAATAAAATAAAATATAAGCCAGGAGCCGGTGGCTCACGGCTGTAATCCTAGCTACTCAGGAGTCTGAGATCTGAGGATCGCGGTTCAAAGTCAGCCCGGGGAGGAAAAGCCATGAAACTCTTATCTCCAACAAACCACCAGAAAACCAAAAGTGGCACTGTGACTCAAGTGGTAGAGCGCTCACCTTGAACTGAAGAGCTGAGGGACAGTGCCCAGGCCCAGAGTTCAAGCCCCATGACCCACAAAAAAAATTTTAAAAAAAGATACTATATATATATATATATGCAGTATTTATATACTACTAGGTACCATCTGTGGTTGTAAACATTCATTAGGGTCTTAGAACACAGTCACTAAGGACAAGGGGGAATTAGTCTTCCCCTCTCCTCCCTCCCTCTCTCCCCCCTTCCTTTCATTCCTGTATGTGCATTGCAAATTAAATCCATGGCCTCACACCCAGGCACAGAACATGCTTTGTTCTAATACTCAGCTACAATCCCCATCCTATATTCGTAATTTAGAAAATTATTTCCACTTAATTACTTATGTGAAAGATTCGTACTTTTGCCTATAGCAAAGAGTTGTTACAAGTCACTTACAGGAAAGTAGGTTTCCACAATTTCGAAATTCTGAAATCCAATTATAATCCATACCACAAGGGTAGCAATGGAAACAAAGACGATAAAAGGAACAAAGTAGCCACTGAGTTTGTCTGCAAACTGCTGGATAGGAGCCTACAATTAAAACCATCATAACAAATAATAAGTAACTCAAGTCACCTTTTCTGTACAGAGTATACAGACAGAAATAAGTAAGCTTCATATTAATGTGACTAAATTGAGTCAAAGGAAAATATAAAAGCTAGATCAAGATTTACACTGAGAAGGAAGGCTTTCAAGAAAATACTTTGTGCTTTTTTTTTAGGGGGGCTGGGTTACCTTTGATGTCTGGGCCTCCTCCACAAGTCTGACAATTTGAGAAAGGGTTGTGTCTGCTCCAACATGTGTGGCACGGATAAGTATGGACCCATTCTGGTTAATGGAACCAGCGATCACAGTGCTGCCAGGTTTTTTAGCCACAGGCATTGCCTCCCCTGGAGGAAGAAGGAGTTAAGACAGATTTAGGGAGCATCAATGATCACTATCTTGAAACTCATACATTCATTGTCAATCAACAGTTAAAGGAGTCTTCCTCCATAAAGTAAAGACAAATGCTCCAATGAAAGCTGTCCTCCCTTTTGTTTATCTCACTTCAAGGCCAAACCCAGGGATCTAACTTTAAACTGGAAAAACCTAACATGTTAGCTCTTGTTGACAGATACTTCTGGAGTTTCACCCTAGTCCTACATCCCTGCTTCTCAACCTGTTCTCCAAGAGCATTTAGAAATGTAGGAGGAAGGGACTGGGAAGGTGGCTCAGTGGTAGAGCGCTTGCCTTGCATGCATGAGGCCCTGGGTTCGATTCCTCAGCACCACATAAACAAAAAGAAAAAAGCCGGAAGTGGTGCTGTGGCTCAAGTGGTAGAGTGCAAGCATTGAGCTTAAGAGCTGAGGAACATCGCCCAGGCCCAGAGTTCAGGCCCCATGATCTGACCCAAAAAACAAACAAACAAAGAAATGTAGGAGGAAGTTTTTCTTTGTGATAAGGACTGACATGAGGACAGGCAAGTGGTGCGACAGTAACTCAGTGGCCAGGGTCAGAGAAACTAAATTGTATTTGAATGAACAAGAAATTCCCCCAGAACTAAGAAATTTCCTACCCAAACTGGCAGGAGCAATGCTTCTGAGAAATATAGAGTCTGAAATTGTTTCCATGGCTCCAACAACTGAGCCTCTTCTGAAACTATCCAGAGAAAGAAGGTAGCAAGGCGACATTTTGATTCTGCTCCACACTTGCCTTAGGTATGCAAGAACTGTACAAATACTCCGTCTACTCTCTTAGGCAGATATTGAGAGGAAAACCTGTAGGTCTAGTCCAGCCAGGGCCAGAATAAGCTCTAGAGCAGGAAGACAGAAGACACATCTGGCCCAGGAAAACTGCCGGTCTATCTGTAGTTCTTCTACAAGAGACTGAAATAACTTATTTTGTTCTGCATTCTAGTAATCAACAATTTTTAGTGAAATGAATTTTCAATACTATAACTAAAACATGAAGCAAATCCAAGGAAATTGGTCTAGTACAACTAACGAACTCATATTTGCCAGTGCCAGGAACTCATGCCTGTAATCCCAACTACTCAGGAGGCTAAGATCTGAGGTGGTTCAAAGCCAGTCTGGGCAGGAAAGTCTATGAGACTCTTATCTCCAATTAATCACCAAGAAAAAGCTGGAAGTGGAGCTATGGCTCAAGTGAGAGCATTAGCCTTGAACACAAAAGCTCAGGGACAGTGCCCAAGTCCTCAGTTCAAGCCCCAGGACACGGACACACGGACACACACACACACTTTCTACAAAATGTAGAACCTTTTATGTCTATTTTCCTTAGCAGATTGGATTCACTTTCAGATTATGAGTCTCCAAAAAAACATACCTGTGATGAGAGACTCGTCAACCATAGAATGTCCTTCAATAACACGACCATCCACTGGAAATTTGCCTCCTGGAACAACCTTAATGATATCTCCACGTTGTACAAGCTCCACATCCACCTGTTCTTCACTGAATAGGAGTAATATAGTGTCATGGCAACATGCTTCCCACCCTGGTCTCCCCATACAAGCTTTGAGTTCAAGTCTATGCAATCTCATAGTAACTACAGATATACATTGGGACCACTACACTGGTCTTGCTCCCTGGTGTTGAACAATGCACTTCAGCATAAAGCACAAACTAAATGTTCATTGAAGACAAACTAAGTAAAAACTTTCAAAGTAATGCCATAGGTTTTGTTAAAACTATGTACTTATTGTGCAAGTTTGCATAAATAACTTTATGCCTATAAATAGTGAAAAATACAACAATGAAATATAAAGTCCTTAGGTCTAACTTCCAGTTTACGAGCAACACAAGTAACAAAACTAGTTAAATGGCATCACAAGGAAGCAAAGACACAATTTCAGACAAGTTTTCTGGTGCTTGTTTTCTTGTGGTACTAGGCATTGAATCAGTGCCACATGCATCATAGAAAAATGCTCTACCACACCATGCTATATCCAAAAAACAAACATTTAGACAGAGTATTCTCCAGAATAAACAATGGATCTTTTTCTATAAGTCAGTTATATTGAGGGATGGATAGAAGAAGAAAGGAAGGAAGGAAAGAAGGAACAAAGAAACTATTCCAGATAAAAAGAAACCTAAAAGATCGGGTAATGGTGGCTCTATGCCTGTAATCCTAGCTATTCAGGACACTAAAAGCTGAGGATCAGGATTCAGAGCTATCCTGAGCAGGAAAGTCCATGTGACTCTTATCTCCAAGTAACCAGCAAAGAACTAGAATTAAAGGTGTGGCTCAAGTAGTAGAGCACCAGCCTTGAAAGAAAAATCCAAGCAAGAGTGTGAGTTCAAATACCAGCTTCAGCACATCAAAAAAAGAAATCTAAGACATATAACAATATATACATAAACAAAAATATTGCACTGTGCTGCATATATATGTATGAGTCAATAGAAAAATCAAATTAGGATTGGAAATGTAGCTCTATAGCACTCACAGAGCACTTGCCTAACATACTTAAAGCTCCAGGTTCAATGCCTAGCCCTAAAAATTAAAGTAGATTTTTTTAATGCAATGATATACCAAATCTTGTTTGAATTCTATTCCAAACAGATTTAATACATTCTAGAGACAAAAGGAGAAAAGTAAACATGAACTGAGTATTAAATGATGTTAAAGAATTATCATTTTGTTAAGTACAATATGGTATTGTGTTATATAATAATATATCCTGAGTACAGGTGTGATGGTACACTTTCGTAATCCCAGCACTCAGCAGATTGAGGCAGGAGGGGCAGGAGTTTGAGGCCAGTCTGTATTATATAGAGAGACATTCTCTCACAGAACCAAAAGGTTATTGGCTCAGGCTGGCCTTGAACCTATGATCCTCCTCCCTCTGCCTACCTAGTGCTGGGTTCTAGTCTTGTGCCACCATACCTGTCCTTTCCTAGAGATCTACTATAGAAATACTGGTTAAGCCAGGTGCTGGTGGCTCATGCCTGTAATCCTAGCTCCTCAGGAGGCTGGGATCTGAGGATTGTGGTTTGAAGCCAGCCCAAGCAGGAAAGTCTATAAGACTCTTATCTCCAATTAACCACCAGAAAACCAGAAGTGGGGCTGTGACTCAAAGTGGTAGACTGCTAGTCGAGCAAAAGAGCTCAAGGACAGTGCCCAGGTCCTGAGTTCAAGCCCCACAAGTGACCAAAAAACATTAAAAGAAATATTAGGTAAAATATATGACTGGAATTTAATTTGTACTGCAACAACAGAAAGGCAAAATGAGTACATTAATCAAATATGACAAAATATGGATAACTTAAATGTGTGATACTGTTGTGAGTTCATAATAGTCTTCTCTCTACTTGTAAGTATATTTGAAAACTTTCATAAGAAGTTAGAAAAAGAAAAGGAGGGTGAAAATAAATACCTCAGGAGGATATTTTCCGAGTTAAGAGTTACAATAGTTGCTTCTGTAGCTTGTAGTGAAATTAGCTTTGCAAGAGCCTCTGATGTTTTGCCCTATAAATTAAAACAAACATATTGACAATGCTATGAAAGAAAATGTTCAGGTCTTAACTAAAATAAAGCTAGAATCTTCATGTCTAATAAACACCTTAAGAAATTAAGTTGCTCAAAATCAGAAAATTTTTCACACTAAAAATAAGCATATAAAATATAAAAATGATTAGGTATCACTTATAAAATAGGAAAGTAATAAGGAAAACATCAGGAACCCAATAGATACATGGGCATAGGTCATGAATAGACAAATTTTCCAAGAGGAAAAATAAACACAAGACACATGAAAAAAATGTTTCCCCATACCATTAATGGAAGAAATGTAAAAAACAGCTCTCCAATACCATTTAATGCCTAACTAGAAATAATTTAAATAAAATGCAACACTGACACAGGGACAACAGTTTGCTGGCAAAAACTGTTGCAACCTGCAGCATGAGCCATAGAAAACGTTTAATTCCTCCTAAGATACAAGGACAATGGAAATGACTATTAGATAGGGATATAATCAATGTAGATTTATCAAAAAAGAAAAATTAGGAACATTTTAATTGAGAACAAAGCCAGGATGATTTAGTAGGTGAGAGCACCACAGACTTGAAAGACTATTATGTAGGAATATGAAATAATTATTTAGTCAGGGGAAAGGGTAAAAACCATATGGAATGCATGTATGTTATGATTGCAACAGCTAAATATAAACATGTGTTGAACAGGATTAAATTAAAGTATGAAAGTATGGGTAGATTTTTCTCCATCATTATTTTAAACTATGATATCAAATTTTCAATTAATGATATGACACAAGTAAGTACATCTCATGTATCTCTCTCCTAAAATAACCATGGCATATTGTACTACTCACAATAGTAATTCTAAACATTGGGAATTCTACTAAAGGAATGTTCAACTTCAAATACTGCCGAAAGAAAATAACTTCTTTTGAATAAATGATTAACTACATAAATCACTAATCCCCATTTATTCTAACAAGTATTATCCCATCTTATATGTTACCTTTGCTATGTGTTCCAGCCACCGGCCCAGTGCAATAAATACAAAAAGCATAGGAGGGGTGTCAAAGAAGGTAATAGGGTTCACTTTGGCTCTCTCATACATGGCCACGAGGAGAATAATCAGCGAATAGGCAAATGCAATGGTGGTGGCCAGCACAATCAGCACATCCATGTTCGCTGTCTTATGCTTCAGTGCTTTGTAAGCCTGAATGTAGAAGTACAAACCTCCACAAAACTGCAATAGAGGAATGAAAAGCAATGAAATTTCTTAAATGCTGAAATTCACATACATACCTCAGTAACCTAAAGAATTAAAATGTATTCCCTTTGCCTTTTAAGTAATCTAGAAATACTAAGGAGAGAATGTAGCCTGGAGGAAATTAATACTTCAGTGGCTATGTGTGCAGAGTGAAGGCTTCAGGTTGCTCTGCACTGCATGTCTTCAAAGGTTATCTTCTGTAAACCAATAGATTTTCCACGATATTAAAAAAAAAAAGCAAAAAGCCAGGCTGGGAATATGGCTTAGTGGTAGAGTGCTTGCCTAGCATGCAGGAAGCCCTGGGTTCAATTCCTCAGTACCACATAAACAGAAAAAGCCAGAAGTGGTGCTGTGGCTTCAAGTGGTAGCATGCTAGCATTTAGCAAAAGAAGCTCAGGGACAGTGCTCAGGCCCTGAATTCAAGTCCCAGGATTGGCAAAAAAAAAAGAGTTCAGACACTGAGCATGGTAGCACACAGTGACAATCCCAGAAATCAAGGGGATAAGGCGGGATGATTATGAGCTCAAGGATAGCATGGCTACATAAGGAATTTGGGGACAGTCTCAGCTATATAGCAAGTTCTTCTCTGAAAGAAAAATTCAGATGGTTCATGGAAAAGAATTTACATTTTCTCAGGAATCTTTTTTTGTTTAAGACTTACCCCCTTCACCGTTTTTCCTTTTCTTTTTTTGTTTTTTTTTTTTTTTGTCGGTCATGGGGCTTGAATTCTGGGCTTAGGTGCTGTCCCTTAGCTCTTCGGCTCAAGGCTAGCGCTCTACCACTTGAGCCACAGTGCCACTTCATGATTTTGAGTGGTTGATTAGAGATAAGAGTCTCATATGGACTTTCTTGCCTGGGCTGGCTTTGAACTGTGATCCTCAGACCACAATAGCTAGGATTACAGGCATGAGTCACTGGCACCTGGCCCCTTTACCCTTTTCTAAGTGGTATATCACAAGCTGTTTTGTTGGTAGACCTAACTAGAAAGCTTATTTTTCAGAGTATAAGAAAATATACAAAAATATTTTAAAAATCACCACTCTGTCTTGTTTTGGTCCAGTTGGTTAGTTTTGACTTGGGCTTTATTTGCTTTTTTTGTGGCACAGGGAATGGAAGCTAGCGTTCTAAGTATGAGGAAAGTACGTTACACTGAGCTATATCCCCAACTCTCAGTACTGCCTTTTACAAGCACATAAAGGAACCAAATTATTAAATGGAAGTATTCCTTTCCATAGTAAAAATTTATCTCAAAACAGGGGTTGAAAACTATAGAAAGTAGGAGAATGAGAGAGAAAGAGTAATCAGGGGGTGAATATGACCAAAACATAATGTGTGCATATATGGACATATCACAATGAAACCCTTCACACTGTACTTAGAAGAAAGGAAAAAAAAGCAATGTAATGCCAGACAGAACTATTCAAGTTATACACAGTAGCAGATATGAATAGCAAATCTAAAAGGCTGGCACTCTTCTCTGCTTTGTCATTAAACAAAATTCTTAGGGGTTAAATGGAATGTATTAGCTACTTTAACTATGCAATTTAAGATTTTTTTATTTTTTATTATTAATAAGTTTTTTTATTGTGAAAATACCATACAGAAGGGTTACAATTACATGAGCAAGGTAATGAGTACATTTCTTATCAAACATTGTTGCCTCCTCCTTTGTTTCCCCTTACCATCCCTGCCCTCCCATCTTCCCCCCAAGATTATTTTTGTAAAAATTCAGTATAAAACGATGGAGCTTCTAGCTAATATCAGTTTTGCAGCTGGAATTAACAGTGCCTGAGGGTGTGTATATGTGTGTGCTCTACCAGTTGAGCCACAGATCCACTTCTGGTTTTTTCGTGGTTAATTGGAGCAAGAATCTCACAGACTTGGGCTGGGAATATGGTTTAGTGGTAGAGTCCTTGCCTTGCATGCATGAAGCCCTCAGTACCACATAAACAGAAAATGCTGGAAGTGGCTCTGTGGCTAAAGTGTAGAGTGCTAACCTTGAGCAAAAAGAAGCTCAGGGACAGTGCCCAGGCTCAGGACTGGCAAAAAAAAAGAATCTCACAGACTTTTCTTGCCCCAGCTGGCTTGTAACTATGATTCTTAGACTTTGGCCTCCTTAGTAGCTAGGATTACAGGCATGAGCTAATGGTGCCTGTCACATTTTGGTTATTGTTAATCATCAACAAACAAATGTTATTAATATTTCACTTGCCTGTACTGGTATGCACAATAAAAACGACAGCAAATTCATAATGGACAGTCCTGGCAGGATTTGGCGCTCCAGGAACATTGAAGAATGGATGTTGATCATTTCTTCATTGCTTATGTTCTGACTATGATGCAGAGTGGCAAGGTGGTGGTCCATAGCCATCATATATATCATCAACCCCATCACAGGAATACAGAAAAACAGGCTTACAAGGAATGATCGTCTCCATCTAATATGGAGGGGGAGGGGAGATCATATTAGTAAGTAGCTAAAGGTTAAAGATTCTAAATTCAATAATGAAATATAGGTTGTAACCATTCCACCAAGTACAAGGATGACAGTGTAAAAAGTGAAATATTAGCATGATGTTAAATTTGGAAGGAACAATCAAAATCTGTTGTTTACTGATAATCCAAAAGTACTTACTGTCTAATTTCTCGTTTATGGTCTAGGTGACTTGCTGACCGATCCTTCTTGACCAAAGAAGCTTCAAAACCTAAGCTCTAAGGAAATTCACAAGAAGAAATTATTTTAATGTATAAATATGTTGAGAAATTCTAAGCCATGATATTATCATTTAAAACAAGTCACATACTGAGTGTATGTGACTCTGGGGAATGCAAAAATCAAGAACACTTTAAGAGCCTTCTGCTCTTAATGATCTTTGTTTTTAATTTCCTGTCAAAGCAATTTGTATGTTCTCAATTATGGCTAACATATACGCTATTGTTCTCAAACTAAAAATTTAACTCAAGTGCAGTTGTCCTCAGTATAGGTCCTTATTAACAGGCCACAAAAGCTATTACTGTATCATATGTGAGCAACGTAACACACTGAAAAAAGCAAATGTGAGCTGATGAAGATGTTGATTATATTGTTACTTACACTAATAAGATCTTATATGAACTATTAATAGGCCTCAGATCATTAGAATCTGATAGTACACTGGAACTTTTTTGTTGTCAGTCATGGGGCTTGAACTCTGGGCCTGGGCACTGTCCCTCAGCTCTTCAATTCAAGGCTAGTAGTCTACCACTTGAGTCACAACACCACTTCTGGTTTTCTGGTGGTTAATCGGAGTTAAGAGTCTCAGGGACTTTCTTGCCAGGGCTGGCTTTGAACTGCAATCCTCAGATCTCAACCTCCTAAGTAGCAAGGATTACAGGCGTGAGCCACTGGTGCCCGGCTTACACTGTAACTTTTAAAGCACTTACATATATATATACATTACTGCTTACAACTTACTGAAGAACCTAGGGTCAATTTAGCACAAAGAAAAGGTTTGGTCTTTCAAACTTTTATTTTAATTAAAAGTCGGGGTCTTAGCGAGGTACCAGTGGCTCACGCTTGTAATCCTAGCTACTTAGGAGGCTGAGATGTGAGGATCGCAGTTCGAAGCCATCCTGGGCATGAAAGTCCCTATGAGACTCTTATCTCCAATTAACCACTCAAAAGCTGGTAGTGGTGCTGTGGTTCAAGTGGTAGAGTGGTAGAGCTCTAGCCTTGAGCACAGAGTGGCTCAGGGACAGTGCCCATGCCCAGAGTTTCAGCCCCATAACCAGAAAAAAAAAACTCGGAGTCTTTTGCTTTAACCTAACAAACAATAATACATAGATAGGGCTGGGAAGTTGGCTCAGTGGTAGAGCGCTTGCCTCGCATGTATGAGGCCCTGGGTTTGATTCCTCAGCACCACATAAGCAAAAAAAGCCAGAAGTGGCACTGTGGCTCAAGTGGTAAAGCACTAGCCTTGAGCTAAGGAGCTGAGGGGCAGCGCCCAGGCCCAGAGTTCAGGCCCCACAACCAGATCAAAAAAAAAAAATACATAGATAGCGTCATGTTTCATTTTCATAGTGACTAATATAAATCTTACTCATAAAAAAATTGTACTGTGGGGCTGGGAAGGTGGCTCAGTAGTAGAACGCTTGTCTTGCATGCCTGAGGCCCTGGGTTCGATTCCTCAGCACCACATAAGCACAAAGAAAAAAAAGCCGGAAGTGGAGCTATGACTCAAGTGGTAGAGTGCCAGCCTTGAGCTAAAGAGCTGAGAGACAGCGCCCAGGCCCAGAGTTCAGGCCCCACAACCCAACCCCCCAAAAAAAAAATTGTACTGCATAGCCGGGCACCGGTGGCTCACGCCTGTAATCCTAGCTACTCAGGAGGCTGAGATCTGAGGATAATGGTTCAAAGCCAGCCCGGGCAGAAAAGTCTGTGAGACTCTTATCTCCAGTAAATCACTAGAAAACAGGAAGTGGCGCTGTGGCTCAAGTGATAGAGCGCTTGCCTTGAGCTGAAGAGCACAGGGACAGCACCCAAGCCCAGAGTTCAAGCCCCATGACCAAAAAAAAAATAAAATGTACATTATGTCCATTTTGTAACTTCTTTTAAAGTGATCTATAGTTCTATCTTCTTGTTATTAATAGTGTAAATATGCCTTTGCTTAAATTTTATTTAAAATTTAAAAATTACACTTATAAAACCAATACATTCTACTTGCAAAATTCAAAACAATATCGAAAAGATGAAAAAATGAAAGTCTCTCTTTGTTCTTATTTTTTATTTTTGTATTGGTCCTAGGACTTCAACTCAGGGCCTAAGCACCATCTTTGAGCTTTTTTTTTTCTTTTTGCTCAAGACTAGAGCTCTACCACTTAATCCACAGCTTCATATCCAGCTTTGGGCTGTTTAATTGGAGGTAAGAGTCTTACAGACTTTCCTGCCTAGGCTAGCTTTGAACCTTAATCCTTGAAAATGAAGTTTTTAATAACATTCTTTTGTTGTTGTTGTTATTGTTAGACATGGGGCTTGAACTCTGGGCCTGGGCACTGTCCCTCAGCTCTTCAACTCAAGGCCAGTGCTCTACCACTTGAGCCATGGCGCCACTTCCAAAACGAAGTTTTTAAAAATGGACATATTTATTCTAAATTCTGAGAGATCTTAGCTGGAATATTGAAAGGAAAGATATATTTTCATTGTCACTTTCTGATGCAAACCAGATGGAATTCAAGGGAGCTAGAATGAATTTGTAAGAATAAAGAAAGATCACATTTTCCAAAAAGAAATGTACTCATTACCTAACTTATGTAATTTTAACCCTACTGTACATCACCTTGATAGTAATACTAAAAAGTTTCAAAAAGAAAAAAACCAAACATATTCTGTTTTGTATTTAAAAAAAAAGAATAAAGAAATAAAGAGTCTTAGGACTTACTTCAATTGTGTGGATAATGTCTCTAGGACCAATAATTTCTGGATCATATTTAACATGTGCTTTGTTAGTTGCCAGGGCCACAGAGCAGTAGAAGATCCCTCGGTGCTTTGTAAGAGTAGATTCTATTTTATGTACACAGGAAGCACAAGTCATTCCTCTTACCTGATTAAAAACAAAGCCTTTGTTACTCCAAAACATACTTTTTTTTCAATTAACATGAGTTAGACTCCTCATATCCTGGAAGTTGCCTGAAGGATATTCAACAAGTTAAAAATTTATTCAAGAATATCTACTCCATGATAATGACAAATTGCCTTGTGAAGGTTAAAATGTGTTTGTGACTTTAAGAATCACTATTCCACAATACTGTGAAATATGTGAAATTTGTAATCACCTAATCTTAATTTAAATAAAAAGTGTGAGAGAAGGGATGGGTAATAATGTTGCCAGACACCTTGTACCTTGTACTCATACTGTTTTGTAGAATGGGAAGTTTTTTGTACAACTACTTAAAGATATAATAATTAACAAATGTAAAAAAAAGAGTATCTACTGAAGGAATAACAGCAAATATGGCCAGTATAGACCCCTAAAATTCTTTCCTCCATAAAAGAAAGAAGAAAACTGGCAAAAAAAAAGTCAGAATTATTCTTTTAAAAAAATTCTGGAGGGCTGGGAAGGTGGCTCAGTGGTAGAGCGCTTGCCTTGCATGCTTGAGGCCCTGGGTTCCATTCCTCAGCACCACATAAGCAAAAAAGAAAAAAGCCGGAAGTGGCGCTGTGGCTCAAGTGGTAGAGCGCTAGCCTTGAGCTGAAGAGCTGAGGGACAGTGCCCAGGCCCAGAGTTCAGGCCCCACGACCGGACCCAAAAAAAAAAAAAAAATTCTGGAGCTGGGAATGTGGCTTAGTGGTAGAGTACTTGCCAAATATGCAGAAGTCCTGGGTTCGATTCCTCAATACCACATAAACAGAAAAAAACAGAAATGGTGCTGTAGTTCAAGTGGTAGTGTGTTAGCCCCTGAGTTCAAGCCCCAGGACTGGCAAAAAAAAATTCTGGCTATGTGGCCTTATTTGTCTATTCTCCTCCCATCCAGTCTTATAGACATCTCTCCCCACAGTAACAAAACTAAAAATAAAAAATTAGCTCCAGAGCAGCCAGTGGAGAGGACAGGAAAACTTAAAAGTGCTTTCAAAGTCTCATTTCCAGAGTACTGTCATTATTTGACAATTAACTGTCATCTGATAGTTCCCTGAAATAGCCCACTTGCAAAAGTGCCTGTGTGGCTGGGTGGTGCAGTAGCCCATGCCTATAATTCTAGCTACACAGTAGGCTGAGACCTGAGGATCATGGTTTGAAGCCAGCCCACCAAAAAAGTCTGTGATGCTTTTATCACTAATTAAGCACCAAAAAGCCAAAACTGGAGCTGTAGCTCAAGTGGTAGAACACAAACATTGAACAAAAAAACTCAGACACAGTGCCTAGGCCCAAACTTCAAGCACAAAAATTAAAAATTAAAATTAAAAAAGAGTCTTGAGGACTTTCCTGTCTAGGCTACCTTTGAACAATAATCCTCAGATCTTATCCTCCTGAGTTGCTAGGATTACAGGCATGAGCCACCAGTGCCCAGTTCTCTCTGTTCTTTTTATGTGACCTTCCTAAGACAATTATTGCTAATTATTATGTATATCAACTAGTTGGTCCTTTAAGTATATGTGCACACAATACATATATATATGTGTGTGTGTTTATATACATTCTTAATTGCATCTTTAATTAATTGAAATAATGTAAATTGGTTATAGTATCACACTACAATTTGTTTTTGTTCAAATAGTATATCATAGAGATTTACTTGTCCATCAGTATTGATCTATTTTATTCTTGAAGCAGTTATTTAAAAAAGTAGTTATATGCAATCTATAAAAATAATTTATTGGAATTGGAGCTGTGGCTCAAGTGGTGGATCAATACAAACCTTGAACAAAAAAATAAAACTCTCAGAAACAGCACCTAAGCCCAGAGTGTACACACACACACACACACACACACACACACACACACACACACACACACAGTTAATCTACATGTTTTCACTGATTCCCAACTCTATTTTTTTTTTGGTCAGTCATGGGGCTTGAACTCTGGGCCTGGGCACTGTCCCTCAGCTCTTCAGTTCAAGGCTAGCATTCTACCACTTGAGCCACAGCGCCACTTACAGCTTTTTCTGTTTATGTGGTGCTGAGGAATCGAACCCAGAGCCTCACGCATGCAAGGCAAGCACTTTACCACTGAGCCCCCTTCCCAGCCCCCAACTCTATTTTTAGTTCTTAAAAATATATACATATATATCCATTCCATGTTGGAGGGTTACTATTAAGTTATATATTTCTATTTTTTAGTTTTCTTTATTTTCATTATATATCTTCTTTTCTAAGCCTTTAAGTATCTTTACAGCTCTTTTATAAACACCCTCCAAGTATTTTCTGGACATCTCATTAATCACACAAAACTTCTTACTTACAACAAGTTCCAAAATACCATCTCCTTCATCGGCATTTTCAATCACAGTGGCTCCAAATCCAAGCTCTCGGATTAACTCTGCTATCATTGAGGGTTGTATAACAGTAGGATTATATCTCACTTCTGCCTTACCAGCCATCAGGGCCACAAGCACAGAATGTATTCCTGGGAGTATTGATAAGAAAAACAATACAGGTAACAGTCTTTATCAAAGAGTAATGGTATAATTACTTTTTAGTATTTCTCATTTAACTGTGAAAGGACTGAGGTGAATCTGTAGAAATATATTAATTTTTATTTGAGTTTTAAGCCAAAATGATATAAAACTATTTGAAAGGTGGCCTCATTCACTTAACCTTATTATGGAAAATTTCAATTACATATATATGAGAGAAGGGCTGTGAAGGTGGCTCAGTGGTAGAGTACTTGCCTTGCATGCATGAGGCCCTGGGTTCGATTCCTCAGCACCACATAAGCAAAAAGAAAAAAGCCGGAAGTGGCGCATTGGCTCAAGTGGTA